GATCTGACAGGGGGTGTCAGAGGAGGGTGTGCAGAGTCCTCACTCTCCTGTCAGGCTCTGTGCAGAGTCACAGGGTGAGAGATCTGACAGGGGGTGTCAGCGGAGGGTGTGCTCAGTCCTCACTCTCCTGTCGGGCTCTGTGCCGAGTCACAGGGTGAGTGACCTGACAAGGGCACTTGCACAGTCCTCAAATTCAAGCTCAATTTGTTCTCACTCTGTCCTTGCAGAACAGGTTTGCACAACAGCTGGCGATTTCAAATTGTGAGCGAGACACAGAATAACAAACTGCTGCTGCCAGAAACAGACTCTTTAGAATGACAGGCAGTGCTCTCGCCTCACAGATCCTGGGTCCTGAGCCTGATTCCACCCTGGGCTGCCTGACTATGTGGAGCTTGCATGTTGTACCTGTGACCGCGCGGGGTGTCCCCAGGTGCTCCGATAGCCTCCCGCCTCCCAGAGACACTCTGGATCGGTTAGTTATCGTCCCAGAATCGGTCCCGTTTGTGAGCATGCCCAGTCTAGGGTTTCGTCCTGCGTGACAGTCCAGGACTGGACTTTCACCAGGAATAAGTGGCTTGCTGGTAATGGATGAAGGAAGTTTTCCCGAGCGTCTCCTTTCCTCCTACAGTGGGTCCACTGGGGACAGAACCGAGTTCTTACAGAACTGTTGCGCTGGAAGATCTCCTAACAGCTGATTCCGAGCTACCGCCTGGTAGACAGGTACCAATTAAATGACACAGTTAGGATATTTCCACTGCTCCCTAGGGTGAGTATGGGACACCTTGGCTTGTTACTTTCCCCCAGGAATTGGGTGGTTTCTGTTACAGTCATTTCATTTCTCTGGAGGGGGTTGTTTCCTTAAATACAATACTTTCCCAGCAAGAACCGGACAGTGTCTCATCCTGACTTCGGCACTGTTGATCATGAGGGGAGAGCAGAGACAGATAGGTCCTAATAAATTGGCCAGAGGGGACTGCGGGGGGGGGGGGGGGCTGGAGCTACACCAGCCTACGTTTGAGATGCCTGGGATATCGCCTTGGCAACAGGCCCAGGCAGCCATTAGAGTGGTCAAAGACATGAAAAATGGCTAAATAAAGAATAAAGAAAGACGCCAAACAATACCTACAATCAGAACAACCTCTCCCAGGACCAGGAGGAGGGAACAGAAGAAAAAAGCAGGAAGAAGAAAAAACAAATGAGGATAATAAGTCATTTAAATGGCAGCTGAAAGCACCTTCTCGTTCCCTCTCTCTCCTTCTCTTCCTCACTGGCTGGTGGATGGTGTTACTCACACTCACAGGTCTGTCTCAGCGGAGTGCAGGAGAGAGGGAGAGTGATGGAGGAAGAGGGAAGAGAGTGGGAGAAGATGGAGAGAGAGAGAAGAGAGAGCTCTCTCACAACATAGTCCCCCGTCCTCCATTTCTTCCTCTCTCATTCCCCCTCTTTCTCCTGTCTCATTCCCTCTCTCTCCTCTCACAACACAATCCCTTTCTCCTCCGTTTCTCCCTCTCTCATTCCCCACCCTCTCCTGTCAGTGCAATCCCTCTCTCCTTCCTCTCTCATTCTTCCTCGCTCTCATGTCTCCCAACACAATCCCTCTCTCCTGTTTCTCCTTCTTTCTCGTCTCACAATGCAATCCCTCTCTTTCCCCCTCTCTCTCTCATGTCTCCCAACACAATCCCTCTCTTTCCCCCTCTCTCTTGTCTCACAATGCAATCCCCCTCTCTCTCCTGTCTCACAATGCAATCCCCTTCTCTCTCTTTCCCCCTCTCTCCTGTCTCACAATGCAATCCCCTTCTCTCTCTTTCCCCTCTCTCCTGTCTCACA